ACCCCCGGACCCTGGGGCCGCGGTCGTAGCAGCGCGGCCGCCGAGGCCTCCGCGGTGCTCAAGGTGCGGCCCGAGCGCAGCCGGCGCGAGCGCATCCTCACGCTGGAGTCAATGAACCCGCAGGTGAAGGCGGTGGAGTACGCGGTGCGGGGGCCCATCGTGCTCAAGGCCGGCGAGATAGAGCTCGAGCTGCAGCGGGTGAGCGCGGGGCCGGGGACCCCGGGCGGGAGGGTCCCCCTGCCGGACGTCCACCCCCGGTCAGCTCCTTCGTTCAGCCAGGCTTGGCTAGAACAAGAGAGCGCCCTCCTCCCGTCCCTTCCCCACCAGTGCCCCGCACCCCGCACCAAGGCCCTCAAGCACGGTTCACTTGTTGAGCTGAATTCGCCAATTGTTGAGCGGCCCATGCTGCCGGGCACTGCACGCTGTGTCTGCCCTACCCTCGTGGAACCAAGATCCATTGGAGGAAGGAACACAAGCGAATAAGGAAATAAACACGAGGGCTTCAGAGAGTGAATACGTGCTTTGAAGAAAGTAAAACGAAATGGGGGTGCTGAGTGGGGAGTGGTGGAAGGGAACTGCTTTAGGTAGGCGGGGCGGGCGGGAGGGAGGCTCTGAGGGGAGCTGGGATTGTTCTTGAAGCTGCTTCTCTGTATGTCTAAGGCCATGAGCGGGTTGTTTTCTGCCAGTCTTGATTCTTGGACAAGAGTGAGGATAGGAGGAGGGTCGGGAACCTTGACTAATCAGCCACTTCTCAGTCTAAGAACAGTCACCTCGATAGGGGACCAGAGGGGTGGTCTCTTGGGGCCTGATTAGGTGGCCCTGGAACTTTCTCGACTTGGTTCTGTCTGATGGGCTAGGACCGTGACTTCAGTTTATATCATGTAAAGTGACCACACAGCCTGGAGTGATTTCTGCCTTCCTACACAGCCTGGAGTGATTTCTGTCTGGGTGGGTGTAAGAGATGCCCTACGGGATACTGAGTTCTAACCTGGGTGGAATATGGGAGATAGAGTCAAGAATGATTGTCTAAAAAATAAACACTTCTGAGATTTGTGAGACACCAGTGAAATAGTCACCCAGCTGCTTGCTCAAGATAGCTCTGACCCAGAAGAAGGACTGGGGGAGGGTTCCTTGATCTTGCTCTCAAAGGTGTCAGACCCTGGTGTCTCAAGGATGAGACAGTCACTTAGTGTTCCTGAATGTGTGGGAGGAAAGCTCAGGGAGATCATGACACTTGGCCTTTATTCCTGTGGGTACTTTGGGGTTTAATGAGCTCCTGGCCTCCTGAGACCTTGTTGGGACACCAAGTTCTGCTGACTCAAAACAGTGAGCTGGACAAGTCAGAGTCCAGTGTCTCCTGATGACTCCTTGCAGGCTAAGTTTAAAGCTTGGCCTGGAGAAGCCTGGCTCTGTTTCTGTGCCTCCCTGGCCAGTGTGGGCCAGGACAGAGAACACAGATTTTTGCTGCTCTGCTTGTTGGCATCTGGCAGACTGGAACTGGCCCTTCTTGAGGCAACAGTCTTCCTGATAAAGCTGGGATTAAAGTGTTCCTGGTTTTTCACACTACAGCTGATTTATCTGGTTCCAGAACTGGCAGAGGTTCCAGGAATTACCTCTACCTTTTGCTAAATAGCAACTCCCATATTGGTTCCAGGAGACTTGAGGATGATGAAGACAGAGGGAACACTGTCTTCAGGGAGCTGACTGCCAGATTGTTCTCTGGGCCTGAGCCTCCCTCCCCCAATTCTTGAAGGATTGGTGGGATTTTTTAGCAGGCAGAAAGTGTGAGAGCATTCCAAGCGGGAGCTGTGCTGTGAGCAACGGAGGAAGTTGGGAAGTCCTGGGCATTTGGGGAAGGGGGATCTGTCTGCCAGGGATTTGGGAGGTGAACGAAACAGAAAAGGGGGACTGGAGTCTGGTGTGCCGGGTTCAGGATGGTATGGTGCATTTTGGTGGGAATTGGGGAGCCGAGAAGGTTTTCTAGCAGGGATGTGGTTTGATGATTTTAGGTGGGCAGATTTCTCCGTCTTTGGGCTAGAGGCATCTCTGATTTCTGAGACATGCTCAACACCCCTACTACCTACTTCTGAGGTAGCTGAGAATTCTTTCTGTCCTCCTACATTCTGTGATACTTTCATTCAAGATTGTCCCTTCTTGTTCTCTTTTTTCCTTTAATGGGTGTCAGTTACCCAGCTGTAGGTACTGGAGATACAGCCCCAGCTAGACCCGCATAGTCTCACTTAAACCCTTGGTTCTCGGGAGACAGCCTCTTTTCACTTCGCCAGCTTAAACAGTGCCCCTTCTGAGAGCCATACTGCCCCCGTCATTTCTTATTTATTTTGTTTTGGCTTGCCTTGACTTTGCACAGCTTCAGTTTTTCAACTCCTGTTTTGAACTATAGTGATCAAAACTGAACTGATGTTATAAAGGGTTCACTTTGTTTAGTTTTTATTTGAGTTGGAGTCTTATTCTGTCGCCCAGGTTGGAGTGCAGTGGCACGCTCAAGCCATCGCAGTCTTGCCCTGCTGGGCTAAGGGAATCATTCTGCCTTAGTCTTCCAAGTAACTGTAGGTACATGCCACCATGCCTGGCTAATTTTTTCTTTTTAATTTATTGTAGAGATGAGGTCTCGCCAGGTTGCCCAGGCTGGTCTCGAACCCCTGGGCTCAGGTAATCCTCTGGCCTCTGCCTCTGACTCCCAAAGTGCTGGGATTACAGGCTTGAGTCACTTATAAGGGCTTGATTTAATTAGAGATGGGATGGGCTAGGATTTGAAGGGAGTAGGGTGACCTGGGGTAAATCCCATATCCACTCTGGGCCTCAGTTTCCCTAGTTATAAATAGAGAAAAGTAGCCTGACAGACCCAGGGCTCCCCCTTGTCCTGAGTTGTGTGCCTCCTTGTCCATTCAAAAGTGTCCTTGGGAGCCGGGCGCAGTGGCTCACGCCAGTAATTCCAGCACTTCGGGAGGCAGAGGAGAGAGAGGATTGCCTGAGCCCAGGGGCTCGAGACCAGTCTGGGCAACTTGGTAAGACCTTGGCTCTACAATTTAAAAAAAAAAAAAAATAGCTAGGTGTGGTGGCGTGGGCCTGTAGTTCCAGCTATTTGGAAGGCTAAGGCTGAAGGATTGCCTGAGCCCTGCGGGTCTAGGCTGTGGTGGCCGTGAGTGTGCCACTGCACTCCAGCCTGAGCGACAGAATGGGACTCCAACCTCCCCCCCAAAAAAGTGTCCTTGGGGACCTGAGATGGCCCCTGGTGTTACCAAGGCCTAATGCTGCTTATGGAATCGTCTCCTCGGGTGTTCTGCAAATCATATGGGCTGTTTAGCTGCACACATGACTCGTGTTCGACTTTGGAGTGGCTGGTAGGATTCAGTCCCTATCCTTTTTGCTTCTCTGGCAAGAGAGCCTGGTGGGGGAGCAGGTGGGCTAAGGGACAAGAAGGGGTCAGCCCCAGCTGTGTGATCTCAGAGGGGCCCTATTCTCTCTGACAGCAGCTCCAGGGGGGAGAACCCATCTTAGCTTTTCAGATCCTGATATTCACTGCAAGCTGCACTTAAAATACACTGCAATTAAAAGGAGTTCTGAAAGGATCTGACAGTTCTTCCTCAGCTTACTTTTTCTCTTTGCTGGGGGATGGAGGTTGGCGAATGGTACAAGTGGAGAAAAAGGAATGGCCCTACTTCTTTCAGTGGCAAACATACAGTCAGGGCAAAACATTCAGAAGTAGAGGGGAGGACTGATTACCACTGCTAACATCGGTAAACACAGAGGGTGCTGTAGCACATGGCTATAGTTAGTTAGCTAAGCACTAAGATTGGAAATCCTGGATGTGCCAGGCATAGGGAGTGAAATCTCATTGATTGTTTTCTATGGAATTTAGATGCTACTTTAAAATAAATTTTGAATTGGGCGCGGTGGCTTACACCTGTAATCCCAGCACTTTGGGAGGCTGAGGCAAGAGGAATGCCTGAGCCCAGGGATTTGAGACCAGCCTGGGCAACTTGGCAAGACCTCATCTCTACAATAAATAAAAAAATTGCCGGGCTCGGTGGCTTAGCCTGTGATCCCGTGCCTTTGGGAGGCTGAGGTGAGTGGATGGCCTGAGCCCGCGGGTTCGAGACCC